TGTCTGAATATTTTATAAACAGGATTTTAGGAACTTGGAAAGGGTAAACGTAATGTCTACCCACGCCACTAGCTACGAGGCGTGAGTGCTTATCCATTTATGTCTTTAATATAAATTCACGACCGTTTTGTTACAATAATATAAAATTTAAACCTTCAATTCGCATCAAGAAAAGTGTTCACTTTTCGAGACAAACGTTACGAATGAATATGAATTGAGGCATGCTCCCCCAATATTTTCCTCTTGATTTGATTACATCTGCTTCGATATACGTTACGTATGACATATGACGAGGGACAGGTTCAATTTCCAATAAGTGTATGTGCCAAGAGCGTAGCAAGGGCGCAATATCTTTTGTTTTATGGTAATTCCATACTTGTCACTTTTGTCAATTTACCTATTCGTTCTTCAGGCGACAAATGATGGCATATTTTTGTTCGGTTGATGTTTTAAATTTATTTTGAGTGGTACACCAATTTTAGTAAACTGGCTTTGCAACCGGATCTTATGACATAAATCAAATACCTTTATTCAACATAGGAGCATTACACTCAGTAAATAACGGTAAGTACGGTCCTTCAAAATGGATGTTAGATTAAACGAAAATTATAATATCACGATCTGATTACGTTATGATTATATTATGAAAACCTTCATACCAATCTCACCGACACCTCAATTTCATAGTCATAAAACATTTACAATTTACATATCTACACTATTAATACAATTAATTACAACATAATAATCAAAATGTTTAAGTTTGTGTATATTCAAAAGGTGTAGTGGTGAATTACATAATAGTGAATTACACTTGTGAATATAATGGAACACAATAGTAGTCGGATAAACTTCATAAGTAACATTAATAACAATATATATAAATTTATTCTGAAGAAGCCTAATTGCAGTTTAATTTCTTTCTGAGCCCCACACTAGGCAATGCCTGTCCTAACATACATACATTGTAGAAAGTATCGAAAATAGTCACCCCCGAGAACTTTATACTGATTCAGGAACGTGTTGCGAAAAATGAATCCATTCGGATCAGCCTCTTTGCTGCTTATTGAATATTTGATCCGCCTAAGCTATTCACAGCTCCATATTAAAATATCCAGCAAATGTTACTGGTGACAGAATATTCGATATCTACTTCGGTGTTAGTCGGCTCTAATACAAAACGTGTCGCATAAAGGCCTTATTTCCGCGGTGTATCACAGTATAATTTGAAACACAAAATATAATATTCCCATTATGTTATTTCTCATTCGGTAAACTTTAAAATTTATTTTAAACGCATTTTAATTTGATTCCGATGTGAGTTGACTAAGTGATTTGAGTTAATTTCTGAAGGAAGATTTTCACTAGTGTCACGTTTTTTTTGTGTAGTAACCATAGGGAATAGATCATCTCGATTATTAATGATAGCTCAGTGTGCGAGTGTCGCTTTTAATTTAATATACCTACTCGAGCAACCGAGTTCCGATGCCGGTGCCGGCATCATCGATATCGTTAATTTTAAGTGCTGACTTATCACGTGTTTAGAGGTGTACGAAAACATCATTCGAAAAAATTAGGTCATGTGGTGGACAATGCCTTAATACCCTCTGTACAGGCAGGCCTTTGCCCAGCAGGTGCCCGCCTTGACGTGGCGGAGGGGCTTAGTATCCGTGGCTTGGTCACCCATGGCGAAGCCAGGAACCCACATTGGGCCGGCCTGCTGTGGTGGTGAACACTACGGGTGTTACAAATGTCAATGGGCGGTGGTTACAACTTAACATCAGGTGAACCGCCTGCTCGTTTGCCACATTCTCACATAAAAAAGAATTCGCCAACTAAAATACATAAAAAATAGTTATAAGGAACTCTTTTTATAGAATAACTCTTTTAAAAAATAAGAAAAATATGGGAAACCTCGAACAATATTCTTAATGTAATTATTTTCTGAATACAGCCGCTCTTTAAAAGTTTATTCTCAAATGTTATTAAAATATAATATATATTGATAATAATATTGATAAAATTAACTAATCCAATGACAGTAAAGGAAATAAGTAAAACAGCTGCTTATGTCAAGACTTTATAAATTGTATTAACAACCATTTTCTTTTTAGAATGTTGTGTAAAAGACACTACTACACATACAGTATTTAAAAAAAGTAATTCGATATTGCATATCCAAATTCATAAAGTTATTAGTAACTTCATTAACATTCTCAATTCGTAACAAAAAGAAACTGTAATCTTGGAATTATGCTCTCAAAGATAAAGATCTTTTATATTGTATTAATACTTTTTTTTATTTTATATTATAAAAGACCTAAAAGGGGTACTTAGACAAGTTATGTACTACTCTCTACATTCACTAGCTATTCCGAATGCAATTCAAATTACGTAATTCGGGAGACAACGAAGCACAATATGCGGGCAAAAGACAAAGCAGGTATCCAGTGATATTACAGAAACTACGCAGCACGGGCCACTTTAATACCGACTACGTTTTGCGTCTTACCTTTGTCAAGTCTATTACGGTCCGAAGAAATCGGATTACATGTGTAATCCAGCGTGTCCTTCGTTTCCCTCTGGTGACATTACGCTAATAGCCTTATACTCTATACAAAATAGAAAATAATGGAGCGAAACGGAGTAAGAAACGCATTTTGCTCGGTGGCTCGGAGCTCTTTTTGGACTTTGAACAACCATATAGTCTAAATTTAAAATACCTGTGCATTTTCTAAGCCCCAATTACACGAAATATTTTCAGCGTTTACATTTTTAAATTCTGGCAGCACGGATTGTTTTATTCGCTTAGTTGTTAGCGCTTAAAGAATAAATAGGAACACAAAAGAAATGGATTAAAATTCGACATATATATATATATATATATATATATATATATTGTTTATAACGGCTTCTTCTCGTTTCACGAAAGAGAATATCATATCCATAAATAGAAAGACCTTTCATGTCTGGCCAGTGACACTATTGGCACTGTTTAAAGCTTCTAGTCATTGTGAGCGAAGTTGTACTAATGGGCGGAACTCTGCTATATCCGGGATCGCCGAATATCTAACATTTTGTGTGGCCTTTAATGTATTCTTAGCGTATCTTACAAAGAAACTGCTGAATTGATTTCTTTACTGAGTACCTAAAGAAGGGAAATACATTTTTACGGCATTACGTATGGACAGGGGTCGGTAGCTCAAAACTATTATGCTCTTTGCCCAATGCACGAAATAGGAATTGAATAAATTTTCTCATCGATTACTTTAATAAATGCTATGCTTGTTTATGTCATGATTTTTTTTTTATAAAGTCATTTAAGTAAGTCATTTGATGAAATAATTGTAATCAAATTAACGCTTATGAGCGTTCTCATCATTTGCGTATAATGTTAAAATCAGATGTTTTCATTATTAATACAGGTATGTCAAACTACCGGGCAAAGGAAAGTTGTTAATTTTTACAACGTGAATTTAGAAAAAATATATGTACGCACGTAAGAAGTTTTACTTCTATAGCGTAAAGACATCAAATACAATTGATAACGGTTAACTAAAGAACTTGGCATTATTGGTAAACGTCAAAAATTTGTTATTGGTTGCCATCGTAATGTCGTGAAGGCTTATCGTAAAAACCTTACGCTCATAATTTTCCGAACGCGCCAAAAAAGTTTAACTTCAGAAAGAGAATTCGTTTAATAAGCTTTTAAAATTTAAACTTTTATACGAGAACCAGGATCCTTCTCGAAAAATCACCTACACGCCAACCACTTATAGAAAACACTTGGAAGGAGTGTCTGTAATGGTGTAGGTGTAATTTTCGCACCGGCAGTCGTTAGCGAGTCAACGGCTGATGCTTTTACAGTCTGTGGACGGGAGCGAAGCCATTAAGCGGAATGGCTGGCGGCACTTTCGCTAAATTGCAATTTTGCGGACGTTTTAAACAAAAATAAACATGTCCACAGGGTGTAGTACCGCTTATCGACGCCGAGATGCATGCAGCGTGCATCATTAAAAATGGACACTTTTATTAAAGTCTCAAAACAAATTTCTTGGGCCGTCGCAGTGTGTAGAATATTCGTAGAGTAATTTTCTCGGGAGTCTTTTCATAAATAGATTTATTAACCTTAATTACTATAAAGTGGACTCGAGTAACTTATATTTCTTACATTTTAGACTGAACCTGTACTTAACCTACTGTCATTTAATAAATGTTTCAAAATAATTAAGTAATTAAAAATCCAGAATATCTAATGTATTCCACAAATTTACTACCAATAAGTGATCATTCAATTCTAAAGACTTCATCTTTGCAGCATCTTTAAATCTTGGCTGCAGATTATGATGGAATATTTAATATGAAAAAAGTTAACTGCCACATATGTCTAAAATTCTATTCTAATACACTCTGTATGTATTTGAAATGTGTTTTAATTTTTTAACCGTCTGCTAGTTTGGCAACTATTAGATAAAAAAAACGTGTTTGCACCAGTCACTAGCTTCCGAACTCACATGTAGTGGCCACGCACCAGTACCCACTGTCGCAAGAATGGGCAGCTCCGTCCGGGTTAACAGTTAGACCTCACAGAAGACCTGCGTGAAGTGAAAGTGCTATACTTCTGCGTTTCGTCTGGAGGTTGCGGCAGCCGGGGCCCACTTAATTATAAGGTGACGAAACATCTGCAATCCTACGGGACAAACAGGCGGACGAATCTAGTGACCTTATAAGAGTTTATTAGGAGTTGCTTTTTTTTCTTTGGACTAGCTTTCATCTTAGGAGTTGCTATCAATTACATTCACTTTTCATATCTTAGTATCTGTCCGTACATTAGGTAAGGTAAGGTCCAAACGTGCATTAGTTGGCCACCCAGGGGTTTTACTGGGTAAAAAACCCCACATAACCCTGTCATGTAAGATGATAGGGTATCTTTTGAAGATCCCCCCCCCCCCCCCCGATACCAAAAAAAAAGATAAGGTAAGATAAGGTCGAACACTCACCGTGATGAAGGCGCCGTAGCTGCCGATGCCGTCGCTGATGTTGGCCGGGTGGTGGATGTTTATATCCGTGGCAAGGGAGGCCGGCCAGCTGTCTGGCACCACGGCATCGGGGGCACCCAGCTCCCAGTACACCTGCCGTACAAACGTACTCTCAAGTAATACTTACTTTGTTTTTTTGAGTTCCGTGCCCAAAGGGTAAAACGGGAAACTATTACTAAGACTCCGCTGTCTGTGAGTCTGTCTGTCGGTCCGTCTGTCACCAGGCTGTATCTCATGAGCGGTGATAGTTAGACAGTTGAAATTTTTCACAAATGATGTATTTCCGTTGCCTATATAACAAAAAATACCAAAAGACAGAATAAAAAAATATTTAAATGGGGCTCAGATACAATAGACATGATTTTTTTTGCCATTTTTATAGCCTTCGTGCGCGATTGCTACTCGCATTTGGCAAGTTTATTATGTGAGAAAAAAGCAAACGAGCTGGCGGTTCACCTGATGTTAAGTGATAACCACCGCCCATGGACATTTGCAACACCCGTAGGAGTTGCAGATGCGTTACCACCTTTTAATAAAGTGGGCCCCGGCGGCCTCACTCACCAGAAGAAACGCAGATGTGTAACACTTCTACTTCACGCCGGTCTTCTGTGAGATCGTGGCATTTACCCGAACGGACCTGCCCATTCATGCAACAGCGAACACTGTTGCGTGGCCCTACCCTGTTTAAGTTTGAGAGTTCTTGCTCAGTTCTTTATGTGCAATGTACAACGTGCAGACGGTTCACCTGACTGAAGTATGCAACCGACATCTACAATTTTATTTATTTACAATACATTAAATATAATTTTTAGCTTTCTGCACTTTCTCTTCATATGAATACATATTAACTATGCAAAATGTCAAATTCCTCCGTAGGCGTAATATTCTTAAAAAAGTTCTAAAGTTTTGCTTCGCGTATTATTATGCAGATAATTATCTGTTTAGTATTTTTTATAATTTTTAGTGGAAGAAATGGAAGGACGCCTTTGCCCAGCAGTGGGACACTAGTGGCTGAATACGAATACGAATATTTTTTTTTAATATCAGACGTAAGAAAATAAACAAGTAAATAGAAGAAAAACAAAAAACTTTAGTGACTCAATTTAAAAACTCCACGACAAAAGAACCCACAGCCGTAACAAAATTTTAGCTGGATAAACAATCTGTAGGTACACATCCATAACTACCCGATCAAAACATTGACCAAAAATACTGCTATTTTTTACCTTAAAAAACTAATTCTGGCAACCCTCACCCGGACTGGCAGCGCGCCAAAGCCGAGAAAAATCGCGCCGAAACTTGTCATGTCATCTATTCGCGTTCGATAAACAAAAGCGTGAACCGGTCCACGGATTTTGCGGCGACACAGACAATGGACACGTGTTACGTCGGCCCTATCCATTAGTGGCCCATTCTCTGCTCTGAATAGAGGCGCACATTATTGATATTCATGTGCCGCGATGAAAAATATTTGCGAGAATAAGTCTTGAATGTGTGAATTATTGAAAAGAGAAACCGATACACTCCGTTATCCATCCACTAATGCATGTACTAAACTTTTCGCGATATAGACATAAGAAACGCTATATGCAATAAGAAGTGACTAAAATTAAAAAAGAAAACAGTACCCCTTTTGCTATAGACAGGAAAATCATCGATCCCCTCTCTCCTGAGAGAAAACAGGTTTATTCGATGTTGTTACTAGCAACATTTTTGTACATGTTTTGAGTTACGTGCTAAACCATCTATAAAAATAAAATGGTGGTGTTAGTAAGCGACGAGAAGAACGGTAAAATCTCAGTATATATCAGTTTGAATGCAAACTCCGTTCAGAAATCCAATGGAATAAAGTCGCTGTGACACCTATTATTTTTACAAAGATACGTAAAGAAAACTAAACTACAGTGACGGATTAACCACGTAGCAAGAGTAGCAATTCAAAGTCAAAGTCAAAGTATATTTATTCAATATAGGCCTAACTTAAGCTCTTATTGAACGTCAACAAAAATCTATCACCGGTTGACTAAACTAGACCTGCACAGAGAAGAACCGGCAAGAAACTCTGCGGTCTTGTTCTTTTTGTTATATATATATATATATATATATATATATATTTTTTTTTATGCCTAAAACAAATATACACACTTATTTGGGTATAAAATCAGCAGCAGCCACGGGTCTTGCAAGTGCAGAGCAAGAGTCATTTCCAAACATCCTTGTCCTCTATGTATTCTTGGATATTATAGTAGGTCCTTGCCATTAAGGTAGTTTTTACAAATTGTTTATACTTAGATGCTTGTGGATGTCACCTATTTTATTATAAAAGTTTATGCATCTTCCAAGAAACGACTTTCTGGTTTTAGCCAATCTAAACCTCGGTACTTCCAGAGTGTCACCACGGGCCCGACGCGGTGTGGATTGTTTTTTCGTAAATACGATGTATAATTACTACGATCCCCGCAACAAAGTGGGTCCCGCATTGTTTCGTACCTTCGCATTAATTCGCACCCACTCTTCTCTGCCTTAGAATTAATTACTTGAGCGAAACTTATGAAATAAATAAGAGTATTAAATTGTTTTTTAACACTTTACACTTAAGAACCCATGCAGATCTTGATCTGCTATGGGTTTTTATAGGTTGTTATTTCTGCTATGGGTTTTTTTCAGCCCAAGGGCTGTTTGAAAAAAAAAATGTTAGGGGCCCGCGCTAGCTTAATCCGGCACTGCTTAACTACCCTTGAGACAAACGAAACAAATAAAACTATGATACACGGTGGAAGTTTAATATTCGGATTTAATGCTTCCCCGTAGCTGCAAAGTTAGCAAAAATGAGCTCTGCTTTTAATGTCTCGTCTGTAAAGGTCGCGTACAATAAATAACCTCAAAATGTTTTCTTTACGATGTTCGTACCCGAGGTGACACGATTACTCCTAGGAGGAAAACAGGAGACGGCAGTTCAAAGCAGAAGAAATAAACATGATATAGCTGAATAGATACCACGGTTTATTGTTATTACCTTGAAAGCTGCACTAAATTAGTTTGTTTGTCCAATGGAGTCTAATTCGTCAAGTTTTTAAGTCTGAGCTTGGCAATTGAACACATAACAGCACACGTAGAACAGTAAATCTGGCTAAATGACGATAGGCAATAGGTGGCAGGGTAAAGTAATAATCATCAATTTAATGTTGTTAAATATGTATATTTCCGTTTTTACCCTTTTCCTTCTTCGTTTTTCCCGTGGGTATAATTTTAAAGGTTGTATTCTTAAAAATTCTTCAATTATTTTAAAGTTAGTTTAAGCCACTTTGTGTACAGAAATGCCGTTTCTGGTGAATACTGTTGTTTCCTGTAACCTGTGTAACTTTCACTTTTGGTCATGTAATGTACTTTTAAAAATAGTTCCATTGAGCATGTCGTGTAACTAATTATGTACCCAGTTGGGAATCCCATGTTTAAAGTAGCAAAGCACATACTCTTTCACACAATTTACCACCGCCAATCGACGACATTTAGCATACGAGACGCCGCTGATAAGTTCACGGCCTCAAGTAATAATTAAGGAAAATACACTTTTATATTTTTCAAAATACTCCACCGAGTGAAATACAATCTTCGCATCTAGACTATACTATTTATAATAAAATTGAAAAAATATTATTTTGATTTCTCGTCAAAGTGGATTTCATGAAAAAGGGGTGTTTTTTATATTACTAATGAGTTAGTCCACTAGTGGTAATTTTAACGAGATGACACGTAATCAGTAGGAAGCTCAAACCGCGAACATAAATTTTAGTTGGCACTCGAAGATTTGCCAACGATTTAGCAATGCTTCCCTACAAATAAACAACATCTTTGTTATTAAGCAGTTTAAGACTTCAGGTGAAGAATTCTATTATATATAGCAATTTAAATTGCGAAGCAGCAATTAAAAAAACGAAATAAAAGTGCTCACGGATGAAAAAACGTTGGAACGTAATTTCATATACAAGCACGCAATGCAGGCAAAGATAGCGAATGGTACTCAAATTAGCTTTAAAAATATACAAAAGTCAACAGCCTAGATTACTTATAAAGCGTCATCAAATAATTAAATTGCACTGCTCGCTATTTAAGTCCATTATACACGACCTAATGGAAAAAAAAACAATTACACCTCGTGGATCAGCCTTGTGGCTGACGTGTCATGCCATGGCAGCAATAAAATGAATAATGTTCAAAGAGTTTATTCGGCGAAATTCATTATTCGAGTGGAGAAATACGTATTCACTCCCACAAACAAACCCCCTTACACCTTGAATAAATTTGTATGAATCATACTTTGGACAATAGAAGTGAACGATACCTCCATTGGGTCATATTTAATTTTCACATTTATGCATTTCAATGAAGAACTACGCCCTGCGACCCTGTCGGTTGGGGGAGGAGGTTATGTGGGGTTATTATCCGCCAAAACCCTTTTTGGTATCGGGGGAGTTTTTCAAAAGATACCGTGTCATGCATGACAGGGTTATGTGGAGTTCTTACCCACTAAAACTCCCTCGGTGGCCACCTTCTGTACGTTTGGAGGGACCCCGTGATCTCCTATGGAACGCACCGGTGTCCCTCGGTACTGGGCGTGAGCACGCCTCGGAGAAGGGTTAAACCTTCCCCGATTCCCTCGCCATCTTGCAGCAGCTCGAGGCCACTTCGAGCTGCTGACAATCCGTGTCCCCTTTTAGTCGCCTTTTACGACAGGCAGGAGATACCTTAGCCTTATGAGCCCGGAAATACAGGACTGTTCCGCCAAAACCCGCAGGTGGCTACCTCGGTACGTTGATATCTCCTACGGAACGCACCGGTGCCCCACCGTACTGTGAAACCATGAGCGAGATTCGTCTACGTTCCCCATTTCCCGCGTTGTTTTTCGGACAACACTAGACCACTTCGTGTTGCCACCCTTTTGGTTTCAATTCAATGGTTGATCAGGCCACGGCGCGATCGTCCATGAATCCAGTGTCTCTTTCACGCCCTCCATAGGCTTTCTAGACCATGGAGTGTGGTGATCACTTAAAATCGAGTTGCTTAACTCATATAAAGTAATTATTCTGAATAAA